AGACACAGCCTACATGTTCCCTCAAATGTTGAATGGCTATTCATTTTCACTAGGGCAAGACAAAAACTTCTCTCTAATCTAATTATTAATGGAAAGCTGGACTCTCAATTACATCAAATTTTTCACAAAAAGTGATTTTTCACAGAAAATGTCTTCTGTCTACAAATTCATAAGGGTTTCACTCCTATTCAGGAGATGTGGCTATTCTTTAGATTGGGGTGGACAAAAGTCTCTCAGCAGGCTGGATCCAGCCCGCTTTGGGCTTTGATCCGGCCTGCGAGGCAATTACAGACCCCTCCTCCTAATTACAGGACTCATGAGGGGGAGGAGCTCAGCTTAGCCCCTACACACCTCACACTGCCACTGGAGAGGAGGCAGCGCCAGGACTCAAGCACCTCTATAGGGACAGCCTGGAAGCATTGCTACTGCAGCCAGGCAGCCAGGGGCCAGCCCAGGAGACACTGCTTCTGCGGCCAGGTAAGTTTCCCCCTCATGTCCAGACCCCCTCACTTACACCCTAATCCTGTCATTTACCTCCCCACCAACACCCAGCATCCCCAGCTTACTCCGACACCCTCCTTTGTTCTTTAACCCTCTCTCCTGGCCACACACTGCACCCTCCCTCGTTCTTGCTCCCTCCAACTGGCCAGAAACCCTACTCCCAGCCTGCTTCTGCACCCCAGCTACCTCCCAGATCCTGCACCCTGTCCCTATCCTACTTGCTGGGAGTCTTGTCTCACACACTGTCCCCTTGGGGACAGCCACCACCAGTGTCACAGAGAACGAACCTGGCACCCTTGAACACAGGAAGGATAAAGGGGGCCCTGAAGGTAGGGAGGTTGGAGGGCTCCTTCAGTGTCACAGTGGATAAGGTACCTACCTCTGAAGCCTCATTTTTATCCCTACGCCAGAGCCTAAGGAGGTCCATAAAATCCACTAACTCCAGAACTCTAGAAAAATAAGTCTGGTCTATGGGAAGCCTGAAACCTCAGTTTCCCCCTTCACTTTCCCTCACTCTGTGACGTTGTGGCACTAGAGGAGTAAGCCTTCTCAGTTGGGGCCACATCAGTGAGTGCTGGGGTTTTTTGGAAGAGTTTTTTGGCTTCTGACTTGTGTGGTTCCCCAACTTATTTTGGGGGGTCAATGGCCCCAGGCCCAAAAAGTATTCCCCATGTCACCATAAATAAAGAAAAGATTGAAACCATTTGCATTGAACATAATATTTTACTTTGAAATAAAGTTTGATAAACTAACATGAGAAAGTTAAAACGCTTAATCTGTTTCATAATTTAAACTAGCTGCAGCTGGTTCAGAAAATAAGGAAGAAGCAGGACGGGGAGAAAGAGTGGGAGGAGGAGCAGTCGCTGGGGAGGCAGCAGGGGCTGGAGCAGCAGGAGACAGCAAGCTGTGCCCCAGGGTCGATGACCCAGGATGTGGACCATGGAATCAAAATAGGGGTAGGGGTCTGGGGCTGCCCCTGGTTGGGAGCTGCCCCCTGTGGCCCTGGCATACACTTGCCACAGTGCCTTTATTTTCATGCGAACCTGCTCCTGGGTTCGCATGTGGCCTTTGGAGGCCAGGCTGGCAGCCATCCGCCTGTAGACGGTTGCGTTCCTCCGTTTAGTGCGGAGATCATGAACTTTGGAGGTATCCCCCAAAACCTGAATTAGGTCCCTGATCTCTGCACTAGACCAGGAAGGCGCCTGCCTTTTCCGGCCCCTGGCAGGCTCCTGGGAGCTGGGCTCCTGGTTCTGGGGAGTGGTGGAGGGCTGGCTGGCAGTAGCTGCCTGGTTCATGCTGGGGCCACTGGGTCAGGTGCAGCAACTGCTGGCTCTGGGCTGGCAGGCTTGGAGCTGGCACAGGCACTGTGGCCAGAGTCTATCCCTTTAAGGGCTCCAGGGAGAGGCAGAGGGAGAGGAGTTTTCTTGGTTGTGCCATCAGGGCACGCTGGGAAGGGCTGGAGGCCCCCTATTTCAAAATAAGCATCTACACAGCACTTATTTTGAAATAGCAATTTCAAAATTGGCACTATTCCTAGTGGAATGAAGTTTACCAATTTCAAAATAATTGTTCGGCTATTTCGATTTAATTTCAAAATAGCGGTTTGGCTGTGTAGACGCTGGTAAAGTTATTTCGAAATAACGGCTGTTATTTCAAAATAACTTTGCTGTGTAGATGTACCCTTAGGAATTAATTCTGGAGTAGTGGATTGATGAGAGGGAGGTTATATTAGCCTCACAGAAATTTTTCAGTGGGCCATGGGTGGTAATGCAGCATAGTGTATGTGGCTGCTCCATTCTATGCTTCTGAGCAGAGGGATGATTTGAGTCCCTAAATCTCCATGTAATTTCCTTGTGCACAGCCCTTTCATGCAGCCTGTGCTTGGGAGCAGAGTTTAGCTCTTGAGCAGTGGCAATGATCAGAAGACACAGGAAGTGGTAGGACAAATATATAATATTTTATGTATAATTGCAAGTCCAGTCTATAATAATACAATAAATTACATAATAACAGTACTGTTACATTCTGTAGTTATTCAGACAAAACTCCCAGAGGATCAAACTACAGAACAATATATTTTTGATATTTTAACATCTATTAAAAAATTAATAATATTACATATAAAATAATTTTAACAAGTTGGATACAAGTCCATGGAATGAATCAGCAATTAAACCAGCTGTTGCTTTTCATGACACTGACAACTCTCTTGACGTTAGGATCAAACTGGTACTGTCTGTTTCCGATGAAGAAATAGATGTATCCTAGAAATAAAAATGAATTCTATGGTTATATTTCATTGGTAAAATATTACCCAACAAGTACTGCGATTAAGCAAAATGATAATATTGAGAGTACCTACATTTATGTTAATTTTTAATCTTAGGAGAGCAGTGAAATGATGAATTATGGTTGTCTTTTAAAAGATTTCTTCAACCTAGAGAAGCACAAATATTCTCTATTGTTTTACTTACTATCATGCTGGAAAACAGCATCCACGTTTTTTCCGATTCCTGGGAAATCCTTGATTATCTTCCTTGGATAACCCTGATCCATGGCCTGCCTGTTTTCATCATATCTGAATAGAAGAAATATATGTATAGTTTATGATAAATAAATAACATTTTAAAAGTCCAAAACTCATTCTGACACAAAAATGAGACTGTTCTTGGTAGAAAATCCAATAAAAATTAGATAAACTAACTGAGCTCATAATGTCCTCCACAGGCTTGCATGCGTATGAGAGAGTTTAAAGGTGGAAATCCTGGCCCCACTGAACTCAGTGGCAAACTTCCCATTGAGCTTTCACCTCAGGAATGTATGTGTGCATATGTCTAGATACTGTGGTTGAATGGGGAGGGAAAGGTGGGAACTGCATATCTAGTAGATACTGAACTGGGGAATTTGCTTGATAGTTTTGCAAGGAATATAACTCGTCTTGCCTATATGCAGCTTTGGCCACCACATCCTAGCCAATCAGAGTTTCTTGGGAACGTGATGCATCGGACCCACGAAGCAGAAGGCCTGTCTCTGTAACTCGGAAATCATACTTGTCATAGAGTCAATTGCCTAGCTGATATATTATTCATTAAGTAAAAGTCACGTGTATCTTTGATGACTTATTGTTATATTGAGTAGGAGTGGCACCGGCTCCCAGTAAAGGGGCTGAGATGGGGCAGACAGAAAGTTGGAGGACTGCACCCTCCCTCACCCCAAAGCCCTTCCATGCCATTGCACCAGGGCCAGATTGGAGGCAGGAAGCAGGAGCCAAGCTGTACAGGGTGCTGGCTGCTTGCAGCCACTAAGAGCTGCCTGGGCAGGGGGACCCAGCTCAAGGACTGGTGAGGCACTCTCTTAGCTCTATCTTCAGAGCTGGGTGGTTGGAAAGTAGAAGCAGCTATGGGTGGCTAGAGGGGGACAAAGGCAAATTTTGAGCTGATAATAGTCCCTGCAACCCTTCTCCCCTCTCCCCTCCCCAAGGTGCCCCTGATATTGTCATTCCAAGACCTCTGTTCCACTGAATTCTGAACTATTCTCAGATGAGAAGCTAAGGAGCCATTGCAAGATGACGAGAGCATTAGTCCAGCAGGGTAGTTTATTGCAAAAGATTACCAGGGTACCATGAAATAGAAACAAAGCTGCAGCCATGCATTATTACATAATCAAACAGCATAAATCCATTTAACTGTTCACACTGAAGGAACAAAAATCCAGTATTTTAATAGTGCTGTTAGCTTGATGTTTGAGAGACACAGGAGTACAATTTCATAGCATTACACCCTTTGGGTAATTCTTAAATAGCTTACTAGATAAAGGTCTCTCTACAGGTTGTGTGTCTCATCCTATAGAATGTGATCACATCCTGCCACAGAATTCTACAGGATGGTTGAAATAAACCTATAGGAAGGTTAGCATTTTCTATGAGATTCTATAAGTTTTTTAACTAACTTCCATAGAAAGCTATTCAGTTTTCTGGAACCCTATTGGTTTAATCTCTATTACATTTTATTTTATGTTTACACATTAATCCTCCAAGTCTGAAGTGAGAAATATAAGTCTCTTCAACATTAAATCTTACCTCCAATACTTGTCACCTACAAAGAAGTATGTTTTCCCTGAATTCTCATCACTGTAGGATGCATTAATTCTTTTAACATTTTTTGGGAATCCCAAGTCATAGATGCTTTTGGGGTGGTTGTACACTAATTCATATCCATTGAGGACCCAATATTTGTTCTCTGCAAAGAAAAATAAAATTAAATGTTTCACCAGCAGCTTCTGCTAATACCAAACATCTGATCATGGCTTCTGGTTTTCATTACAACGATGATAATGAAGCAATTTCATTTTCAACAGATATGTATAGCTGAGTAGTGATTCTGAGATCCCTTTACTTTCAATAAATTAAGGATTGGCACTGATCTTTGTTTTTTAACCATAGCATAGCTCCCACGAGAGATGTCATTCATGTTCGTAAATGAGACCTTGGAACAATGAGCCCCAGAAGAACCCTTCCCACCCACTTATTCATTTTGGGAAAAGACATGTTGTATTCTACAAATTGTTTAGTAATCCACCATGAACTGCTTATTGGGATGCAAGATTAACAATACTTGGGATGTGTTCAGAGACTTTAGTGATGGTGGCATACACATGTCTAAATAGATGCATAATAATCTTATGCATATAGCCATCTTCATCTCTCTCTCTCTCTTTCTCTCTCTCCCCACTTAAGTGTGTAATTACTAGAACTGATTGAACTATTTCAAATGGATAGCTATTTTCAGAAAATGATGGTTTTCTTTTTACTAAAACAAAACATTTCACAAACAAGTGTCAGAATTTTAAACGTTTTGGGTCACAGAGGGGGGCGGTGGAAAATTTGGTGTCCCTTTTTATATTCTGGTTAAAATTTGTAATAAAAATATTATTTGAATGCTTCTTAATTTTTTTGCTATCTAAAGTAGTGACTTTTGAATACTTTAAAAAAAACATCACTTTTGAAACTTTACACAAAATTTGGCTTTCATTTTTTGACCATCTCTAGTAATTTCCCTCATAAATATGTCTTGTCTTCACCTAGACTCTTCAGATGTTTAGAGATTTTTTGTTGCCTATGTTCCATAATACACCGAGCAGATCTTTGGATGTGGCATCAATAATTAACCAATTCTCTGCAGAATGCTTTTTAACACAGGTGCTAGTTCTTTGACTTAATACTGAGAATTAGCACGTTAATTCAAGAGTGGTAGTGATCTAGACTACAGGACATATTTAATTTAGACAAAATGCTTCTTAATAGTGTGTTATTTCCCATGATAAAACTAGATTTGAAGCAAAAGTGAAGCCATTTCCATATCTGGCTTTTCAGAACATTTACATTAAATAGATAAGCAACCTGTAATTCACTTTTCACATATTTTGGCAGCTTCTCTAATTTGAACATTTGAGTCATTTCATGCAGTGTCAACCAAGAAAAATTGCGCATTCTGTGAAGCAAAGTATTCCTAATAAATTCATAAATGACAAGAACTAAAGAATTTCAGATGCCGTTACCTTTAAAAAGAAAAACATGATCCTTTTCAACATTTTCATAAGCAGCCTGAATTCCAGATGGTAGATTTGGCCAGAGTAAAGAAATGAAATTGAGTTCGACCTCTGGGATCTGAGAATGCTTCCGCCAGAAATACCTGGTTTAAATACAAGTTTGCATATTAAAAACTGTTCCTACTGTGGCGAAGTGCTTCTGATTCCATCTCCCACTAGTGTTTGATTCACAGTGAGGAAAAGAGTGTGCTATGATTGCTTCCTACTAAAGCTAATTGCTTAGTGGTTTTGATGCTGTAGGTTACACATTTTATCCTTGCTAATGACCTATCATGTGGCAGAGTCATGACAAAGTAGTGGCTCAGTGTGTCACATAAACATAGATCCTTGCAAAACATGAGTTTGCTGCTGCTCTCTTGTTAATTGAATCTGTACTGGTAACAAGCTTGTCATTCCACTGTTTACAGTGACAGAGTATTGGAAAAGAGTATAGGGGGACCGAGGTCATAGTTTCCATTGAAAACAGAATTCCTGAGCAACTAGGTTATGCTAGGCCCCCATCCTCACAGAATTGTGACCATCTTTTGTATGGGATTTTTATTGTTAGAACTATATTTCTAAGTTACCATTTCACTTGAGATGTAATGGCAAATAAATGATCAGAACTATTGTTCCCTTTTAAGTAATGCTCTTCAAAGAGCCAACTCAGAAATGCTTTATTTTTACCTGTCCTTAAAGAACAGCAGTTCTCCACGTAGGGTAGCGACAGCATCAAAAGTCAGTTTGGGGTCACAAGTTACTGGTGTTGTGGGTCCGGTTGGTTTAATAGGGCCATCTGATTGTCCTACATGAAAAATCAAGAAAAATTGGCATTATATAATATGGAGCAATACAGTTGAAAAACCAGTGTTCTGAAGGATTTAGTGGTCACTCAAACCTGTCCCTTGAAAAATTGGGAGGAGTCATTAATCAGGGTTCTGTCAAATTCAGGTCTGTAAAGCTCCTAAACTCAGCACAAGTGAGGCCCAGCTCCCAACAAAACTATTAAAGTCTGCAAGAATCAGCATGCAGAGGAACTGAACTTCAGTGAAACTACCCTTAGGGACAATGCCTTCCTTCAGTTAACAGGAGTTCAGAAAAAACTGGGATTGCTCTGTGCAGCAATACTAGAATGTATCAACAATTACTAACCTGATTCTTAAAACATACATTTATTATAGATTAAGCAGCATTCTGCAAAAAAAGTGAAATTAACCCTGCATATCACTAGATGTTTATTTTTCTTACCATAGATTGCTTGAATGCCGTTAATGTCATCCTGAGGAAGGCGAAATTCGTTAGGCTCAATGTAGGAATAGGTGGGGTACATCAGGGCTCCGGGATCATCAGAATGAGACAGGCCCAATGAATGACCAAGTTCATGGGCAGCCACAAAGAACAAGTTGTATCCTGAGGAATTAACAAAATGTATATTTAAAATAGGTGAACTGTGTTTGACTATATCGTATAGCTATCTATATATGCCAGCCTAAAGCACACTACAAACAGTCAAGATTCTTTCAGTAATTCTGCAAACATTATAATACAGAGAAATTTAGCAGGCAAATTTGATAAAACTATATAGACCAATTACTGATTACTGCTTCCCTTACCCTTACGGTAGCCCCCTTCAAAAATGACCCAATTTTCCTTCTTAGATCTGTGTAAATAAGGAATCGTTCTACTGAAATAAGTAGAGGGTCACAGTCTTTGATAAAATTAGTCCTGATTTACATGAAAGCATATATGAGGGGAGTTGCAGTCACGCCCCCAAACTGAGGCCAGTTTCAGTTGGTCTAGCCCTGTGCTAGCCCTGAACCTAGGATGACATAGTCCCTGCCTTGAAAAGTCTGTGAAATTCTCATCATGGACTGAGATTTTCTTGCTCCCAGAGAACATAAGAACATAAGAATGGCCAAACTGGGTCAGACCAAGATCCATCTAGCCCAGTATCCTGTCTGCAAACAGTGGCCAATACCAGATGCCCCAGAGGGAGTAAACACAACAGGTAATCATTACATGATCCCTCTCCTGTCACCCATTTCCAGACAAACAAGTTAGGGACATCTTTCCTACCCATCTTGGCTAATGGCCATTGATGGACCTAACCTCCATGAATCTATCTAGCTCTTTTTTGAACCCTGTTAAAGTCCTAGTCTTCACACCATCCTCTGGCAAGGATGACTGTGCAATGCATGAAGAAAAATATCCTTTTATTTGTTTTAAACCTGTTACCTATTAATTTCATTTGGTGACCCCTAATTCTTTTATTGTGGGAACAAGTAAATAACTTTTCCTTATTTAGTTTTTCCACACTAGTCATGATTTTATAGACAATCATATTTCCCTTTAGTCTCCTCTTTTCTAAGCTGAAGAATCCAAGTCTTTTTAATCTCTCTTCATATCGGACCCATTCCAAACCCCTAATCATTTTTGTTGCCCTTTTTTGAACCTTTTCCAATGCCAACATATCTTTTTTGAGAAGAAGCAATCATATCTGTATATAGTATTCAGGATGTGGGCATACCATGGTTTTCTATAGGAGCAATCAGATGTTCTCTATCTTATTCTCTATTCTCCTTTTTAATGATTCCTAACATCCTATTTGCTTTTTAACTGCCGCTGCACACTGAGTGTATGTTTTGCAGAGAACTATCCACAATGACTCCAAGATCTCTCTCTTGAGTAGTTGTAGCTAAATTAGTCCCCATGATATTGTATGTATAGTTGGTATTATTTTTTTCCAATTTGCATTACTTTACATTTATCAACATTAAATTTCTTTTGTCATTTTGTTGACTAATCTCACCTAGTTTGGTGAGATCTTTTTGAAGCACGTCAGAATCTGCTTTAGTCTTAACTATCTTGAGCAGTTTGGTATCATCTGCATCTAGATCATTTATAAATAAGTTGAATAGTATGGCTCCCAGGACAGACCCTTGGGGGACACCACTAGTTACCTCTTTCCACTTGGAAAACTTACCATTTATTGCTACCCTTTTTTTCCTGTCTTTTAACCAGTTATCTAATTGTCATTGAGAGGTGAGGAGGCAGAAGCTTCCCAGCAAAGTTTTAGTTCTGTGATTAGGGTGCTCACTCAGGAGGTGGAAGATGATGATTCAGTCCTTCCCTTCCCCTTCCTTAAAGGGATTTGAACATGGGCTTTGTAGAGTTATCTCTCTCTCTCTCTCTTATTACTTCTACACTGTGGAACTGTTTCAACAGGAGAGACTGAAGAGTTTCACACCAGAATTATCTTTTAGTCCTGTCTTTTGTGGATGCATGCCTAAGTAGCTGCTTTACATGAGGGAAGATGACACAATTTGGTCTTGTATAAACAGGGGAATTAATGACTTTCCTACCTTTTGAGCCTTTTGTCCAAAATTCTGCCTCATCAAAGTGCACATCTCCACCAATATTGTTGCCAGGCTGAAAGGCATGAGCCAGGAGCCCATTAGGTCCATCAAAGGGAGAATTGTCACGATGATCTAAAAAAAAAGAATGAATGAAAGAAAGAAAGATAATGAACTTAATTCTGATTGTCAAGCACGTCTATAACTGGTGATGACTAATGTTTTGATCGATGTCCATCGGTCTTACCTCCAATTTCAAAAGACATCATTATGTCTGCAGTGCCATCATAGATCCTTTTGAATGTCAGCGGTGCCACATCGCTCCAAACTTTAAATGCATTTTGGATTGCTTTGTCCACATCAGCTGGATTCATATCTGGTGTGTAGTTCACAATCCTTTAAAATAACGCAGAAAGTTATATATACATTTTGGTATCTACAGTTGTCGTTTATGTAGAATATATTGTTCTAGGCCAAAATATTTCAAATTTGGTGCCTAAAGTTAGATACCTTAAAACCACATTTTGGGAGCATATTAACTGACTTGATTTTCAAATTCTGAGCATTTACAACTCCCGCAGACTTTATCCATGGTTGTAACCTTCCTTTAAAAATCAGGGCACCTATCCAGGTGCTTCGATAAGCAATTAGGTGTCTAACTTTGGAACTTTGGGCAAGTCATCTGAAAATTTTGGCCTTAACTCTTTTGCTCAATAAATTCTTTAGACAAATGTTACCTGTATGTCAGATCCTTTCTTTCCCATTTTGGATTTCCTTCAGTGAGGCGATACTGACCCACATCGGGTACACCACACCTGGACATCTTCATCACCTCCAAAGTTTCAACATCTGGTTTCCCTGTCACTTTCAGCCCAAAAAATGTCTGCATTTCCTTGAGTTTTTCAGTTAAAGGGTTAGTATTTTTGTTCTTAAAGGGAGACTGCTTCTCTGGTTCAAACTTGTAGAAATTTCGCAGATAATTCTGAAGAAAAAAGAAAGAACGGTGCTTTGTGTCATTTACACTCATTAAGTCATGCAAAGCAGTCTAAACAGTTACGAAATTACACCCATGTGCCTGGGGCCTATGTTTTCCAAGAGGCAGGACAGCTCGCTTTCTGCAGGAACTTAGTTAACAATCAGAAATAATACAGTGTAATTTTCTTAATGACATCTAGATTTCCTATTTTATAAAATGTAACTTCTCTGAGACTGCTCAGATCATCAGATGATAACAGTATCTGTCTCTCAGCCACTAATTACTCAGCTTTGATTCCCAGTGAAACCAGTAGAGGATGCTGGAGGCCAACCATTACAACATCTTAACTAGGGTTATATATCTTAGTTACTTTTTGTTCTGCTGCTGCATTAAGGCTGTGATTCAGCAAGGTACTTAAGCATGTGCCTAATTTTAAGTACTTGCATTAAAGACAATGAGACTATTTATGACCTTAAAGTTAGGCACTGAGTTAAGTACCTGGCTGAATTGGAGCCTACATTTTTATAGAATCTCAGAATCTGATCACTAAATAACATAATTAATGCCATATGTCTGTATTTCAGACAAAACTATACTGGTGCCAAGGGAAAATATTTCCCTTAAAACCTCTTGAACATCAGGACTGGTTTTAAAAAAAGAAATACAACTGCAGTTTGATAATTATAAGCTAAAATTCTATGAAACTGACAAGAAGGTTCCTTCCTACCATTTAATTTAGAGTATCTGATATACATAGCATTTATTTACCTCCACAAGCTGGGTGTTTTTGTCTTCATCTTCAGTTCCTGGAGCCACAGGAAAAGCAGAGGAGAAAGCTACATATAGTAACAGAAGAAATGAAAAGGTCTTCATTCTTGTCATTTCTGTGCCTCGTTGCACTAATGCTGCTTGCTCTACAGCTACTACATACCCGTCGCTTAGAGAGCCCTGCTTATATAGCAACTGTGTACATCAGCTCCCAAGTGACTCATAGTGTATAACTTCCTCTGATTAGCAAGGCACCCGATACATAACAATAGTTTCATCATCAAGGAGTGACACAACTGATAGAACTCCCTCCCCTCATTTTCAGACATCAATAATATGATTAATACCAAAGGAAGAGGTTTGCAGATGAAAGTGCAATGATCCCAAAGTCCCTTCCTTCCTCATTTAGATTATTTCCCATCTAAATGGTCCTGCCAATGTTTCTGAACATTGAGAAAAACATTAGGCCATAGTTATAACAAGAATAAGAAGCAATATAAACATAGCAACCACCATACAGAAAAGCATCAAGCACAGGCTTAACTTTAAACCTGGGAGTAATCCCGTTGACCTCAACTGCCTACAGCTATATTATGCTCCCTGAAGCCTTTACCTCTTTTGAACAGGGGTAATCAAAGGGTGTGTCTAGACTACAGGGTTTGTTTTTTTTAAAGTGGCCTTTTTTTGAAAAAAACTGTACCTCCATCTAGACTGCCGCCGTGTTCTGTCGACAGTAAATAGAAAGAATGCGGCGGTTTTGTCGATGGGGGTAAACCTCATTTTACGAAGAAGAATGCCTTTTTCGATAGAGATCTGTCGAAAAAAGGTGTGTATGGATGCGGGGAGCCTGTTCTTTAAAAAAAAAAAAGGCGTCCAGGAAGAAGCCCTGGTGGATAGTCCATCCTTTACATGCTGAGCACCTCTATGGTTCCTGTCCGCAGCTTCTTAAAGGCACAGGCATCCAGACAGGCATTGCTGTCAGCCATCCAGAGCACCTGTGTAGCCATGTCCCAGCCTCAAGGCCCCCCTGGCCCTTCTCAGTACAGTGAGGAGAACCCACCCAGGGGCACCAAAAAGCAGGCACCAGCCTGGTCAGGACCAGAAATTAAAAACCTCCTGGAACTCTGGTCCCAGGAAGAATTCCTGCAGGCCCTGCAGTCGCACTGCAGGAACATGGACATATATGGGTGCATGGCCCAGGGACTGGCCAAGAAAGGGCATCACCCCCGCACCATGGATCAAGTGAGGGCCCAGGTGAAAGAACTGCAGCAGGGGTATGCCAAGGCCAGAGACCAGAGCTCCTGTTCTGAGGCATCCCCACAGACCTGCCCATACTCTACAGAGTTGGAGCAGATTCTGGGAGGTGGAGAAGCCCAGACTCCGCTGTGTGTCTGTGGAGTCTGGGTTACCCCACCATATTGTGGACCAACCTCTGAGGGACGGGAGAGCTGCACCCGGAGGAAGAGGAGGAAGAGACAGCAGGGACTCTCTCCCAGGAGCCGGTCCTCCAGACCCCAGAGGCCTCCCAGGCATCCGTGGACATCAGGGAGGGAACATTGGGTGAGTGCTTTGAGGGGTCACCACATCTGGGTGAGTTGGCAGTGTGGGGGGCCATCTAGTCCCATTGCCACTGTGGGGCCCCTGTGAGGCTTTCAGGCTACTCACACGTGGTGTCATGTGTAACACCTCTGAGTCTCCTGTCCAAAGGAGATCCCCTGACAGTGACGGCATGCCCTCGGGGACAGTAGGGGTGCACACATACATTGATTTTCCTCCACAGCTGGGCCCTCCATCCAAGAGGGGAGCACCACACCAGCCTCACCACCATCCCAGACATGTGGCACCCGCAGGCACCGGCGTGTCTACACTGACATGCTGAAAGAGCATGTAGAGGCCCTGCAGGACCTCAACAGGACTCTTCAGCAGAGGATGGAGGCAGCGGCTGTGTGGCACAACAGGCTGCTGGATGAACTGGTCCAGCAGCGCACTGCCATCTGTGCCACTATGCGAGAGATCCTAGCCTTGCCAGCCCCTGTCACAGGCACCACTCCTCCTGCATGCCAAGACCCTGCTTCGCCAGCCCCCTGCTCTCTCAGGTCCCCCTGCTCAGCCACACCCTCCTGCTCCAGAGCCCTCACAGGCCCAACATCTCCCCTCCTCTCCACTCCTGCCCAGGCCAGGACTGGCTCTCACCCCACCCGAGCCCAAGGCTGTGTCAGGATGCATGAAGGTGACAGGACCCTGCAATCAGGGAAGCAGTGGCCTATTTGAGCCTCCTCTCCTGCCCAGGATTTCAGCCCCCCTCCCCCCTCCAGGTTTTCAGTCTCCTACCACCTCAGTTAAAGGACATTTTAGTTCTGTAACAAAATCTTTATTTTTGAGTGAAAGATTTACCTTGTATATAGACATTTGAACAATGAAAAGAGAAAGTTTTTTAACAGTTACCACATTTTCCTTACCGATAGTGTTTCTAATAAAAAAACAATGTCTGTTTACAGAGAAAACCGGGTGTGCCCCAACCACCTGACACAAATGTCCATAAAATGTCCCTGGTGGTCAGCCAGGGCCTGCAGCACCATGGAATAGTAGCCCTTCCTGTTTATAAATTGGGCTGCTCGATGGGGCGGTGTGCGGATTGGGATGTGTGTTCCATCGAGGGCTTCTCTGCAGTTTGGGAAGCCAAGTGCAGCAAACCTGGCAATGATGTTGTCCAGGTCCCCGAGACGGACGAGCCTCTTCAGCAGCTCCGCATTGATGGCCCTTACCACCTGCAGCAAGAGACAAATAAACAGAAATGAGGGAGTTAGACAGGTTACCTAAGAGCTTAGGAGAACCCCACCCTCCTACCAGCCCACCTCTCCCCTTATCAGGATGCCCCCTCCCCTGCATCAATGCAGGGTTGGCCAAGGAGTCACTTCCAAGTGCCACTCCATCCCTTACTCCCTCTTGCCCTTACCTGGCAGTCCCCCTTTCTCAGCCCCTGCACTCAGAAGGGCCCGTCCCCTGAAAGTGACTTATCTCCATTAAAATGGCATCGACAGTAGACCTCCCCACGCCAAACTGGTGTCCCACGGAGCGGTAGCTGTAGGGGGTGGCCAGCTTCCAAAGGGCAATTGCGACCCCCTTCTTCAAGGGGATGGTGGGCCACAGGTGGGTGTCCTGGTGTTGCAGAGCAGGGGCGAGCCAGACACACATCTCCTGGAATGTGGCCTTCTGCATCCGGAAATGGGAGTGTCAGGGGAGGTGCTGCAGATGGGGCAGCACGCAGAGCCACCTGGCCATGCCACCACCTTGGTACCAGGGGAGATGTGCCTCTGCTTCCAGGAGCTGCTTGAGGTCAATGCCACCTGGGGCCTACACGCCTGACCCACTTCCACGCCTCACCTGTGATCCCCTACCATCCTCCAAACCCTTGCTCTCAGTGCGGAGCACCAGCCTACGTCCCTGATCCCCATCCAGAGCCCTCATGCTCTTCTGCATCCCAGCCCGTTAGCCCCAGCGTCGAGCCCCCTCCGACACCATGAACTCCTCAGCCCCAACACAGAGCCCCCTCCTGTCTCCCAAATCTCTCATCCTTGGCCCCACTCCAAAGTCCACACCCTCACCTCCTCTTAAATCTCAACCTGCTGCCACAGCCTAAAACCCCCTCCCACACTCTGAACCCCTCATCCCTGGCCGCAACCCAAAACCCACACCCCTAGCTAGAGCCCTCAGCCCCTCTCACACTCCAGCCCCCTGAGCAAACCCAATGAAAATGAGCAAGTGAATGAGGGTAGAAACAGCAAGAGATGGGGGGGAGGGGATACAGAGGAGGTGGAGCCTCAGAGGAGGGGCAAGGTAGGAGGCAGGGTCTCAGGAAGGATGAGGTAGGAGGTGGGGCAGGCTGTTCAGTTTTGTGCAAGTAGAAAAGTTGTCAACTCCAGGCCCTGGGCAATTGCCCCTTTTCCTATCTACCCCTGTTGGTGGGCCCAGGGCAGAGAAACCAAATTTGAGTGTACACAGAGCTCTCCTTCAAGTCTGGGAAATTTACTCAGGGTGTCACAGCTAAAGATAAGGTGAAACAGATTGTTAAGCATATAAATTATAAACACATCTCTCAAGGAGGGTTAGTGTGTTGCAGATTGTTGTAAAGAGGTTTAAAACCAGTATCTCTGTTTTTTAATGTCTTAATGGTCCACTTCGTTTTGATTTGTACCTTGCAACTTGAGTTAACTTCTTCCCTCAACAACCCGTTCTACCTTGCATTTAGCTGGGACATGTTTGCCTTTTCCTGACTAAAGCTGAGTTGTGCAGTTTGAAAGCTTGTCTCTTCTCTGTCTCTTCCACCAACAGAAACTGGTCCAATAAACCACATTATCTCACCCACCTTGTTTCTCTCATGTCCTGGGACCAACATGGCAACACTGCAAACAACATATGTATGTAGACACACATGAGTACATGTATAAATAATAATAATGCTTAGCACTTTATTTGTGCCTTATTTTAAAAACAACTTACAATCAATTGACTAATGTATCCTTACAATGGATGCAATAAGTGACATTATGGATGAGGAAATAAAGACAAACAAAAAATAAGACTTGTCCCAGTCCACAGGAAAAGTCTGCCTGAGCCGGCATCATTTGACCTGTGCATAGTCCACTAGTTCATGCTATCTCCTTTGATCTCAAAAAAGCACTGTATTGAGAGTATATTTTACTTCTGCAAAAAGCAGTTGGGTGACCAGACAGCAAATGTGAAAAATCGGGACAGGGATGAAGGGTAATAGGCACCAATATAAGACAAAGACACAAATATCAGAGTTGTCCCTATAAAACCGGGACATTTGATCACCCTAACTAGCAGCATCAATTTAATGTCAATTAATACGCACCATAAGACATTATTCCAAGGAGACAGCTGACAATAAATCTGTGTATCTGCCTTTCATACAGAAGTCCTATATCTGTGTGTTCTGTAGGAGTATAAATTCCTCTGCTCCTCTCCAGTAGCCTAATTAGATTTTACTTTGTTTATTAAAAGATTTCATTTGCTAACTTAACACAAAATGAAATCCATGTGATCAAACAGCCACAAGCAATAAAATTTGAAGTAGGTTTATAGAGCATAATATTGGAAAATTTTCCTTTTGTATCAGCAACAGGGAAACCCACCAATGTTGAACAGAGGGAAAGCTGGAATG